TATTTGGGTTTTGATGGCCTTGTCTTGCTCTGCTACCACCTCCGACTTTGCCTCTCACCCTCAGGCCATCTCGTTTACAGTTGTTGAAGGGAGCAAGAGCTGGGTTTGTACTGCCGTTTATGCTAATCCTCGGGTGGAACTCAGACAACAGGTTTGGGCTCACCTTCGGGAGTTGGGAGGACGAATTACGCTTCCATGGCTAGTGCTTGGGGACTTTAATGAAATTTTGTTGTCAACGGAGTGTCGTGGGGGTCGTTTCTCGATGGCATGGGCATCACAGTTTCTAGAGGTTCTTAATGATTGCAATCTTCTCGACATGGGGGCTAAGGGCCTTCACTTTACGTGGTATCGAAATCAACGAGGGGTTGTGCTGGCAAAGCGGTTAGACCGAGCGGTGTGTAATGTCGCGTGGCAAGCAATGTTTCCGGAAGCATATGTTGAGAATCTGTGTCGGGTCTATTCTGATCATTGCCCGCTCTTACTACGGCGTGACGGCTCTAGGGACAAATCTCCGGATCGACCCTTTCGGTTCCAAGCTGCATGGGCCACCCATAAAGACTTTGAGCGGATCGTTAGGGAGGCGTGGTGTCGTAGCAAGCCGACCCTTGCTAATGGGCTACAAGTTGTTCAAGTAGATGCCCTCAAGTTTAACAACAAACAATCCTTCAAAATTCGATGACTTTGGATGTGATTGTTTTATGAATTTGGTATTTATAGATAACACTAAAAAGCCCTTCAAAATTTCTCTCACACAACAATCCTTTAAAATCCTTATATTTTTGAATACCAATGGATTGTTTTTAAGTTGTAAAAAATCTCAAATGAATACCAATGAATTTTAATGGACTCTTTAAAAAATCTTGAAAATCCTGATTGAATACCACTGGATTATTTTTAAGTGACATAAAATCCTGATTTAATACCAATGAATTTTTTTACTCAAAAAAAGTCTTTTAAAATCCTACGAAATCCTAAACCAATACACCCCCTTAGATTTTTTTTCATAATTATAACGCATGATACTTTCAGCTATAAAATTAATTATTTTTTTATACATGTCCACACGATTATGAAATTAAAATTGATTACATTAATTGCTTTTAAAAATTTTCACTAAATTTAAAAACATTTTAATGGTAAGGATTTTAAGAAATTTTATTTGATAATATTTTTTTGTAATTCAAAATATTTACTAGATAATTGAATGCATTAGTTGCTTTTAAGTTTTTTACTAATTTTAAAAATGCTGCAATGGTAAGTATTTGGAGAAAATTGATTTTAACAATGTTTCATTTCAAAATTTATACTAAATATATTTGAATACATTAATTACTTTTAACTTTTATCATAAATTTAGGATATCATATCCGTCAGTATTCAAATGTAATCAAATATAATGCATGTTTTTTTAAATTGTTTTCATACGTATGCTTAAAACTTTTGAGAGCTTTCAGTAGAAAGGTCATTTTTTTAATGCTCGAAAACGATGATTCTTCGAAACATAAATTTTAGGAATGATTAAAATTTGTTTGTTCATAAATATATATTTTTTAAATATATATATATATATA